TCCTGCGGACTCCTGACTGCCGACTCGTAAGTGGAGTCCCGCTGATGAACAATACGTATAATCGGGACACGTCCAGAACTACTAGCACTCTGCATCTGAGTGGGGCGTCCCGAACTGGCAGGCATGAGTGGGCCAGACTGCAGACCACTCTGTATCGGAATGGGGCGTACCAAACTGCCAACCATGAGTGGGCCCGACTGCAGTCCACTATGTATCGGAGTAACATGATGACTCGGACTGCCAAGCATGAGTAGTGGGCCCGACTACTGACAACTCTGTATCCGAGTGGGGCGTACCGAACTGTCAACCATGAGTGGGCCCAACTGTTGTCCACTCTGTATCGGAGTAACAGGATGACTCGAACTGCCAGGCATGAGTAGTGGGCCCGACTGCTGACCACTCTGTATCGGAGTGGGGCGTACCGAACTGTCAACCATGAGTGGGCCCGGCTGCTGTCCATTCTGTATCGGAGTAACAGGATGACTCGAACTGCCAGGCATGAGTAGTGGGCCCGACTGCTGACCACTCTGTATCGGAGTAACGGGAGGTCTCAAACTATCAGCCTGNAGTCTGTACCGTACGAGCATGAAGGAGCATCCGGTTCCTCTGCTCCCGAGCCGAAACATTCACATTACGACCGTGCGTGTGTCGGGGTCCAGAACCAGTAAAATCGGCAAGTTACTTATCCGCCTAAATCCAAAATTTTAAACGAATAATTAGTAAACAAACTTTTTTGAATTCATTTATTTTAAAAACTTAAAGTAGGCAACTTAATTTATTAATCTAAATTAATTTAAATTATTAATATATTATAATAATTAATATATATAATAATATATATTTCTTTTTTCTTAATATTTTCTTAAATAAATATATATATATTTTAAATAACACAAAAAAGGGAAAAAAAGCAATAAAAATAAATAATATATATATATATTTAATATATATACGAAATAAATATATATCTATATATATTTTAGATATATATTTTTTATAAATACTTGTATTTAATTTTACAAATATTAAATACGAAAAAATTAAATTATATTTTTTTATATACTATATAATTTTATTTTAATTAAATAAAAATTAAAATATTTTTATTATTTAATTTT